AGATTTAATGGCATAATAATTCTTTAAAACTATCACTTTTTGAAAGTTTTTTCCCCTCTTACTCAAAGTTTAAACTAATTTCTCAAGAATATTCTTATATTAAGTTTTACTCCTTTTTTTGCCCCATATCTTTTACTCTGAATGTTTTATTATTATTTATTTTTTGCTGCAACTTTTTCTAAGAACAGAGATGAGTCAGTTTTATTGCTGTGCAGATTCTAATACTTAGGTGTGAAAATGAATTACCAGGTGTGTGTTAAAGGGTGGGTAATTAATTACAGATTCCAAAAATCTATCCTTTCATCTTGATTCCAAAGGCCTTCAGTTCAGCCCAAGTTTCTGCATTTTAGTAGTCCCCTCCTTCTTCTTTGTTGGGTTTGGCATTCAGATAATCCTGACCATATGCTGACCATAATGAAAAACACTGTTTTAACATTAGCATGGATCAAGCTAACATTCTTACATCATCTTTTTTTCTCCACTCCTCTTTGACATTTCAAAAGTCCAGTAAAGCTGAAATACATATTTCCTCACTTCTAAGTGTTCTGCTTCTGTTCTGAGATATTCCTTTCTTTCCTTTACCTGGAACACTTTTATGAAGATGCTTCATCCAATAACATTTTTCAAATTGAGTTTTCTTTGATTGCTTTTCTATATAAATATTCAATAATCTTGTACATATTTCTCCTAGAATGATTATAATGTATCATAGCCAGTATTTGTCTTCCACAATAATGTCATCTATGAATCTATAGATTCATAGATATTACATGTTATGGAATCACAGATCTACAGGATCTTCTGTTTCTAAATGACCTGCGGAATCTTTTGGGTTTGAAAATAATTGACATGTATATCCTCTTTTTTTAATAATCAGTAATGACTATTCCACAAAAATTTATATAAGTTTTATTTCAGCTTTTTTTTCTCTGAGAATGACTCAAACTGGGTATCTGAGGCTTTCCTTCATTGGCTGGCAGTCTACCAGCTAAGACAGGCCTCCAGCCCTTTTAATAAATTTTGACAAAATATCTTTTGTTTCGTAAAACTATCTTTGATCATATCACTCATTGTTGTCATGTAGGCAAGTTTAACCTGTGGTAAATTTACTATGATAATAAATTTTAAAGTTAATTTTTATGCCACTTTAGGAAAGAGACATTTCACTAGATGATCTAAACCATGTCTTATTTACATACAATTTCCTCAGAATCTAGACAAACGAAGCTAGGTTATAGAGCTGAAAATCCATTAGAAGGATCATACCTGTCATCCTAGCTACTCAGGAGGCTCTGATCTGAGGATTCTGACCAGAAGCTAGCCCAAGCAGGGAAGTCCTAAGGACTCAGATTCCATTCAACAACCAAAAAAACCATAAGTGGATCCATAGCTCAAGTAGTAGGTCCCATTACCAGCAAACAAACAGTGTAAGAAAAAACTTCAAATCATCTCTGAATCTACATTCTTGTTTGTATATGAGACCTCTTGTTACTCTATATGGGTAAATCATACATAATCAATAACCTCTTTCCCACATATTTAGGTAAACAGACTCACGTAATCACGTGTGTTTTATTAAGTGTTTAAGGCTATTTGAAGGCAGAGAACCTTACATGATTCATACTTAATACCCAGAGAAACATCTGTTTACTAGAAAAAACTATACTGGTTATATAGACTTTCATTATCTGTGGACATTTCCATCACAGCTAACATTTCTAAACCTGTCAATGATATCTTCAAAGTGAGGAACATTTCAATTATCATCAGAAAAAGTAGATTACCTCAGAGATAGTCTTTTCTCATTCTTTAATTTCTATAATTCCATGAACTCCCTTTACCTGTTATATATGGCTGCCTGATTTTACATTAATATAAACCTGCAATCCATTCATTTGCACCCTCCTCAACTCTTCTAAATAAGTCCCCATTATGTTAAAAGGTGAGAAGAAAACAAATACAATCATAAAATCCAGTGCATATTCTATATTAGAAGAGGGCTAGGAACAATGATGAAGGGGGAACATCGATCAAGTTCCACTGTATTTGTATACTACCTTGTTGAATGTCAATTCCTTTGTACAACTACTTAAAGATAAAGTAAAAATTATTTTTAAAAAGTCAGCATATGATTAAGGAAGAAGGACTCAGGTAAAGTATGCAGCTGAGCTGTACGCAGTGATGCTGATTTTGATACATGGTACAGTTGAACACCAGATATCTTCAAATTCATTAATTATGGACCTGAAACGCTTCCTTGATCTTTATGTACAATCACGCAAATATAATAAAGCATAAATTTAAGGCACCTTCCAAAGCCCATTAAAGGCCTCACTTTTTTGCAACGTCATCTCTTTCCCTTGAGCAACTCATTTTATTGTTCCCATGTAGACAAGTTTAGCTCCTAAAAGTGATTTCTTGAAGTAACAGATTCAAGAAGTTAAATTTTATGTGCTATTATAAAACTATTATAAAATTATTAAGAATTTCACTAAGTGTAAGGACCACTGGACCACAGAACTATTTCTTAGTTATTTGAACACTGTCTTTTCTTCTAAATTGTTACTTCAGTGTTTAGACTATAAAGAAGTTGTACCTTCCCCAAGTTCAGGAGTGAGGCTATTGACACTCCTTTCATCTCTCCGTAACACCTAATTCCAAAACCACCAACTTTCCCCTTATTAACACTTTCCAACACAACATAGATATTCCATGAATAAGACTAGTCCTATGTGTCACCTACTAGAAAATAAGTTAAATTTCAACTAATTTGAAAAAACTAAAAGCATAGAGTTCAAAACCATTCTTAGCCACCTACCACAGGTTTTACTTCTCTTCAGATTTTATCCAACCATAAATGTCTAAGAAGATTTTACCGAGCAAGTTAATTAAACAATATTGAAGATTTAAGATCACAAGGATGGTTACATAAATCATTAACCAAAAACCACCACATCCGATGAAGAATATTTCAAAGTTAGTTTTGATTGAAATATCTTTTTTCTGGATTAAATATAGGCCCAAGATAAAAACTGTAATTACCTTTCTTTTTATTCCTCTCTATTATTTCTTTAAACATATATCATACCAATATACAACTTTAAAATATGGCTACCTTCAGGATATATCCTGGCTAACTTAGCATATATCCTTCAGATATCTACCATCATTTCACAAATGAGAAAAGCTGAGGCTCAAAAGATCTAAGTACTGTAGTTTGAGCTACCTAATTGTCCAGTGATGGAGAAAGGACTGGTCTGACACAGAAGTTAATGCAACTTCTCTTATACCTTCATACTCTCCTTTAGAGTACAATATGTATGTATTTTTAAATTATAATTTTAACACAAAATGGATTTGAAAAAAACACTGAACACCACTATAAATGAAACGTGCACGTGAAAATAAACAATTACATGCACAATGCATTCCATGATAAGACTCTCAGAGCACAACACAACCGTTCTTAACTCACGAAGTTTTTAGATGATTGTGTCCCAAGAGATTGTAAAATATGAGCATTTCTTACCTGGCAGCTGTATGAGGGGTTGATAAAAGACATTAAAAAACTTGAGCTATGATCAGACATCAAATTTTTCTACCACTGAAGATTTACTTTTACCTGGGTTTTGAGGGCATAATGCTTTTAATGAAAGAGGGATAATCCAATATGTAAGATGTTTAGCACTCTCACTCCCTTTGAAACATTAGCTTGCTTGATGATGTTTGTCACCCAAATCTTCCTACGGACTGGTATGGCCTTACTAGGCCTTATCATTATAAATTCTTTAGGTCAACAAGTTTAAGCAGGAAAATAACTTCAGAACCATCCCATACTGGCCCCAACCCTAGGATACCAATGTCCCACTCTAGTGCTTTTCTCTATATAAAAGATCATAACTTTGGACCAGCAGGGGATAAGGAGGTGAGAGGACAGGATCAAGAAACGGTTGATAAAAAAAAAAAAAAAAACTCCATGAAAAGTCCTTCACCAACACCAGTGTTTGTACATGGTTATTCAGAGTGTTACACTTTGAAAAACATGAATGATATCATTAAGACATTTCATAAAAACCCATAATGCATTCCTTGGACCCTAAGGAAAGGACTCATTCTGATGGGTAAATTCTTTAAGAAAAAAACAAAAACCACCCACCCTGGTGTATCTTCAGCTCCTCTCAAAGCTTTAATCACGTCCATGAACTCCTTTTGCCCTTTTATGCAAAGATATACATCTCCACAATTTTAATAAGTACCCAAGAGAGTACAAAGAAGAAAGCAGAGAAAAATGCTCACTTTGGTTGATCTTTCCTTTCTAAATAGTAATCCATACAAAAGAACTAATCAGTAACAAACTCAAATGAGAACATACAACAGATTTTCACACCTCTTAACTACCAAGAGACTCTGTGAAACAGTATCAGCATTATGACATGTAACAACAAAAAATAAAACAAGGCAGATTTACTTGGCACACCTGCGAACGGCTGTGCCTTTACATTTGCAGGAGTGGCAACTTTAATTTTTTATAGATAGTTTTATTGTATTAGAATTTTTGTCTGTTTCTACCTAAACCAAATTTTCTCATGTTTTTGGCTCCTCAGATTTTTAGAAGCAAGTGATTCTCTGGGAAAATATCAATAAAGAATATTGTGTGACCTTCACATCTTCCCAAAGAGTACATCTCCCTAACACTGTCCTTAGAGCTAAATTCACAAAGATTACCCAATGGATTCATTCCATATATGCACTGACTTTCAGTCCCAATAAGAAGGGAGACTGAGAAATAAAGGAATGAAAATGCCATTTTCACTTCTCAAATTGAGATCACAATCCAAGAGTGTATCTGTGCTGTGGAATAGGTCATTTGTCCAAAGCTGATTAGCAGTAAATAAAGAGGACTTGAATGAGCAAACTGTTACTTTCCTGAACCCCACAGCCCACATATTAGAATTAATGATACAATGAGAGACATAAGATTAGAAAGCAAAGTTACTCACCATGGAGGAATCACTGCTTGTACTCCCGATCGGAGCTCCCTCTGCACAGGTTGGGAGGTGGGTAGAAAGTTGACTAGCCCTGCCCCCATCTATGACATCACAATCTACCTCATAAAAGGTAGTGAAAGTGCTCTGAACTCCTGTCTGATTTCCGAGAGATACAGAAAAGAGAGAGTGAGAGAGAGAGCAAGAGAAAAAAAAACCGTACCCTACTTGGGAAGGGATTAGGGAAGTGGAAGAGGGAATAGTAAACCAATTGGGAGAAAGAGGTATATGAAGGAATTAGGCACTGAAAGAGATATGTGTGGGCATTCTTGACATTAAGCAGCCCCATCATTTGGATTCCTCTTTGGGTCTTGAAAATCTGGGAGGAGAATGAAGAAGCACCCTGCCTTGCCAAGGCACCATAGGGGTCAATTATAATGGGTTCAAAGGGGAAGAATCCCCTATTTAAAGGAATGAATATCACCAAGAGAGAAAGCAAAGGCTGCAGCTCTTAAAGCCTGGGACAATATGTAGGGATCCCAGATGCCTTGCTTGGAGGATCCATTGCCTTGCTCAATGACCTTGGCCTCTGCACATCCATCCAGTACATGGTACTAAAGGGATACTTACCTGTTTCATTGTAATGCACTGTTAGAACTGCAATGCTTTCGACTGTTTCTTTTGTGCCCACACATGGGCTGTGTGAAGGCAAAGGATAAGCCAATAACCAATGTCTATTTTTTACTTTTAGAATGGATTCTGAAGTTCGCTCAGTTTTGTCTGAATGTGTCAATTGAGCTATTCTACAACTGTAGGGGAAAAAAAGAAATGTCAAGATCCCTGTACTCATGAAATTCTCTGCATTTTCACTGTCAGAGGTCAAGTTTTTGAAACCCAGTGAAGAGGTTAACTACCTGACCAAATAGCATAGATTATGCTGCTAGAGTTCCATTCTCATAGCTTTCTTTAACATCTGATTCCCATTTCTTATGGGAAACGAGACAAGATGTGAGAATACACAAAATGTTAAGATTGTTTTCAAATCAAATCAGATTAGAATATTAACATGAACCACCAAAGTTTGTCAAATAGGTGTAGCAAGTGAGAATAATGGCTGAAATCATCCACATACAAGCCAGTGAATTGTGGAAGATCTTTCTTCTGCCAAGGGACATTGGATATTTCTATCATCATTCATGGCCCTACAGAATGATTAGTACAGGCAGACAGGAGCAGCCCTTGAAAAGCATATGTGTCTGTCTAATAATTTTCTAATAACCTCCAGCCTTATAGTAATCTTTTCCCATAGATAATATTTTTTTTATCAAAAGTAAGATTCAAAATATTAGGTTGTAATTTAGAACAAAGGGGTAAAACCCAAAGCCTAATTCCATATGCAGAAAAACAACATTCCAAAGTTAGGATTAAAAAAAATGTTTAAGCCAATAAAGTTCATATTGAATCCTCTCCTTCTAGCTTAATAAGCAAAATTAACCGATAAGGGAGTAGTTTGAAACACAAAAGCTATTACTAAATTCAAACTGTTTATAGATTTAAGAATATCACTCCCATCTTCTGCTTCAAATTAAAATGCTGAAGACAAATATTCTAATGCAGGTAGCTACTTTGAAGTTTGAGAATAATGGTTCAAAGCCAGCCTGGGCAGAAAAGTCTGTGAGACCCTCATTTCCAAATAATCAGGAAAACGCTGTGGCTCAAATGGTAGAACTCTAGCTTTGAGCAACAAAGCTAAGAGAGCATAGTGTTCAGGCCTGAGTTCAAGCCCCATTATTAGCAAAGAAGAGAAGAAAAAATGTCAAGCACGTAGCAAGAAGGGCATTTTTCTTTTACTTGACTTTTTCTTATTAAAGAAATATATTTTTCTTCTGTATTAATGTATTCACATTTGCTCTAATTTTTAAGTCTAAAATAAAAATCTATACAATATAGCATTTTTAGGAGATTCTGTGAAAAATTACTGTGTATGTTTTACTTTCAATTTTTAAATATTGAATCATTGACTAGTTGGCTTATCCTTGCACTTTATAATTGATTAAACAAAAGTTCCATCCATCTTAGGCAATAAAAATCTTCAGATGAGTTTTCAGGCTCAGAAACAATTACTACATTTTAGAAACTTGGGTTACTTCACATGTCATAAAAAATTTAAAGGTCATTAAGATTAATGATCAATTGTCCATTCTTCCAATAAACATCTATAGAGTTTTGACTACCCAATAAAAGTTACACTTCTCCCAACATAAAAATACAAGAACAAAAATGGAGTAAAACACTTTTTCAATATTGAAATGGAACAAACTGGACTGAGGTCATAGTTTACTATGTTAGTATTTCTTACTAATTACCTCTTGTCTATTTGGAAATGGAATGACTTCAGGAACCCAATGCAAAACTAGGATGCATCAAAAGGATGCAGAGAAATAAACAGTGCTGACCTTTTAGGTGAGTTTAGTGTGAGTGAGTGAGTGAGTGATTGTGTTAATGCCTTGAATGATACATGTTAAAACAAGATAACTTGCTTGGACACAAGACACAATGCTACAATCAGGTGGATTTTTTTTGTCTTAGGGTCTAACTTGTCAATGGCATCAGATAAATGAATAGCCCTTCAAGAGAAGATATGAAGCAGTTATAAGATTGCAATGGTCAATAGTCACTAGAATTCCAGTCACAATTATAATTTTTTCTGAAAAGAGGTGGAGGAATGGTTTTGAATTTTTATTCAAAAAGAAAAAAAAATGATGTGCTTTCTTAGAACCAAATATTAAGAAGAGTCAGGTAGAGTAATTTGTCCATTTTAGAAGCCTAATCCACAGGTGAACTTAATGCATCATGGAAGATACTGTCAAATATTCTTCACAACTTACCACAGTGTTACTATTACCTCAATAAAAAGAGATGCCGACAAATGTTGATAGCAGCAGATTTGAATCAAAGATTTTTAGGTAAAGAGATGATGGTTTGAGTGTTTTATGGCAGTGTCTCATATATAGAAATTTCGGGCTGAAAAGAGGACATGATTTTTTAGAAGATGATACCAACTGGACTCTCTCCAGGATATTCTCTCTCAGTAGCAAAATAGATTTGCCAAAGAAAATGGATGAAAAGAGGTCAAGAGACAGGTCATGCATCTAGGCAGAGTTCTAGTCAAGTTCATTATCAGCGAGGCATCTGCACAGATGAAAGCATTCAGAGAAAAGTAATAAAACAAGATATAGTATTGATGAAAAGAGAGATTAAAAGTCTAAATTAAGAAAGCTTGCCTTCAAGAAAATAAGAGGAGGATGAAGTGTTTGAAATATATTTATTGCTTAGAAGGAAAATGACTGTTCAAGATAGAGTAACATGATGTGTTCTGAAGTAGTAAAAGAAATCAGCACTAAGAAAACTCCACATTGCCCATCCAGAAGCTTTTCCTATTTATAAGATTCATGGGCCATAATGTGGCACATATTTCTCTTCTAAGGGCTGTGATCAAAGCCATATTTTAGAAATCATTTAAATTAAGCTAGAGAAAGCACTTGACAAAATAATCTGCAGAGACAGAATGTATACGACAGTAAGTTAAACACACTTCTATTTCTAGAATGTAGTAAACCAAGAAAACAGTGAACACACACAGATATCCTGCTGTTCTCACAGAGAATCCTAAACATTGCAGTAAGCTGAGAATTTACATGGGGAGGAAATCAGACTACATTAGCTAATAAGAACATAATGAAAAGAAAAACGTGTCTTGGAGGAAGTTATTTGATATTAGAAATAAAGAATCTTTGAATGCTTTGAGTTAACCAATTCTTGCCACAATGCCTTTTATGTAGTAGGTTGCAATATTGAATTCAATGTGTCAGAATATACTTCTGGGAACAAGAAACAACTTTAATTCCAAAAGTCCTAATTGTCATTGGAAATTAGCTTTCATATTTAATATACATCAACATAATTCTATAGATTGATTTATTCTACAGGCAGCAGTAGTATTAACAATCTTCATAATTTGAGAGGATTTCACTCCCAAAATGAGAAGTACCTGTAGAACTTTCAACTATAATCATGACTTGTAGAAACATCTATCTTTCCTTTGAAAAAGTGTTTCTGCCAAAATTTTATCAAATCTTTACTGAAAAATAAAGAGCTTTTTTAGTTTTGTTACAGGATCTTTCCATTTCCTTTATTCTTGACTGTTTCATGCAATAGAAAGATGAATAAATTCAACAATGAAATGCCCAGCTAGTCTTTGGCTTAGTACTTATCTTCTTTATTCATATTAACATTTCTATTTTTGAGACAGGTGACAGTAGCTTACACCTGTATTCTTGTAATCCTAGCTACACAAGAGACTGAGGCCCAGAGCACTGTGGTTCAAAGCAAGCCCACTTAGAGAAGTCTGCATGACTTCATCTCTAAAATAACAAACAAAAACCTAGTGGAGACATGTTTCAAGGGTAGAGTAGAACAAGTACAAGATTTTTGAGTTCAAATCCCAGTACCACCAAATAAATACATAAGTAAATAAAACCCTATTTCTTGATTAAATATGACAAGTACAGTAGATACATTTTTAAAAATGGCTGAGGAGATGCGGTTTCAAAATAAATGTATTTTCTTAATTCATTGGCTTCTCAAAATCATTTGGTTCAAGTTAAAGGAGAATGTATGCCTAGATTTCTCTTATAGTCACACTTGTTCAAAATTGGAGGAAGGCATTGTCTCTAAGACAATTCTGTAAGCACCGTTTTGAACAATTTCAAAGGTTTTAAAAATATTATTTTCAATATTTAAAATAATGAGTGTCTTAGAATAAATCAGACCATTATATATAGAGAAAGGTATTCAAAGTAAAAATGTATCTCATATGGATCCATTATAATCCATAGCTTTGTCTTAGTTTGACCAATATCCCAAGAAGTAAACATCCTTCCTTCTAGGTATACTTATGTGTACAGTCTCCCAGCTGTCACAAAGTATTGTTAATGGTCAAATATCAGAATACCAAATCTAAGGCATTGGTTGATAATAAATTAAGGTGTTAATTATTTGCCTCCCCTCTTTTCATTAGCGGATCTCAAAATATGAAAATCTTATAAGACCAAAGCAATGAAAGTTCATTGATTGAATGACAAGTAATGACACCCTAC